ACGTGATACATCCTTACTAATAAAAGCTCCTGCTTTCCTCACTAGGGTAAATAGCTGCCAATGCGTTTCTGCAGCCTGAAACTCGATTGCTGACAGCATGGCAACAGAAACGCTGCGCTTAGCTCTTGGTAACTCTCTAACTCAGATGCTTTTACTGCCAACTACCCAGCCGGCCGCTCCGCAAGCGAAGCGGAGCCCAGCACCGCTCCTGCGTTTGCAGAGGTGCCGGGGCAGGCACCGCGCTCCCAGCCGGTGCTCCAGACCCTCCCCTCCCCACCTTGGAGCTTCCCAATACAGGGTTGCGTGCACACACAAAATAATTAAATCTTCAAACAGCTCACCCCTAGCACCAATTAAAGAGACAACCTCATCTTTCATAGAATTTATTACTTTCAGTGCTGTTGCCACAGGTATCCAAGTTTGAACGTTGTTTAAAGCAGGCTTTCAAAGGGGATACAGACTCACCTACCTCCAGGGAGAATGCATTTACTTTGTTCAGTAGACTATAACTTAAAATTTGTTACATGCACCAGCTTGTAACTCTTTGAAAAAGTCCCCGCTTAGCCAGCTTCAAATGTATTTTATGAACTTGCCCCGATCAAAGCCATTCCCTCAACAATGAGCCTCATCTCACCACCTCGCTAGCAAAAAAGCACCGAACAAATTTTGGGGGTGGAAATCACAGCACAGACCAGGAGGGGACTCTCCCTTCCAAACTCACCTAAGAGACCCCAAGCAAGGCAGCTCCCTTCAGCGCAAAGCAAGAAGGAAAAGGCATTTAATGGTGAATTCACTTACTCAAAAGGAAATAAAATTTAAAAAAAAAAAAAAGCTATTTTCTTTTAGCAAAGCTTTTATTTGGTGTGAGCAGAATAATCTGTCAGCAGGAGACCGCCTGGGCTTCTGTTTCAACAGGACACAAACCTGGCATCGCGTACCATTTTCGATGCGAAGGGGAGGTGGTTGCACACCCTCCGTATTGACCGCGGATGCAAAGCGCTGCTCATGAGCTGCTCCGGGAGACGCGTTACCTTGCACAACCATTTGCCTCGGTTTTACTTCCCTGCTCTGCAGAGCCCTAACTTATTCGCTGAAGCAAAGGCGCAGCTGGCACGCACTGACCCTGCCGAAAACTCAGCAGCCACGAGGCGACAACCCCGGCACGGCCCCACGCCGCGGCCCGGGCTGGGAAGAGACAATGAAACTTCTTTGCCTCCTGCCACTCCTACTGCCTTAATGTCAATTAAAAATGGTTATTTCCATGTGAAATTTAGCACGCGTGGTTTCCTGCTAGAGGCGCAGTTTAATTAAGCGCGCTGGGAGGGAGCTCGTTTCTGATCAGATTAGTCATTTATGAACTATGACATAGGGGGGACAGAGGACACGGTTTTAAATGTTTTGCTACTGCAAATAATAAACAAACAGTTTGATGAGGGGACGACCAAACCGCAGCCTTCTAGGACCAGGACAATAGGCATACACTGAGCGTCCCGGCTAAAATAAAATACCAGCAGCAAATGACACGGCTTACGCTGAAAAACACTAGTTGCAGCTCAAAGCCCCAGGAAGACCAGCTTCCCTGCGGTGACCTATATGTGCTATAAATGCTGCAGACCCGGGCTGCATGACGTAAGCTCTATCCTAGTGGCAATTGTTGGGTTTCGCCTTGCCAAGAAAACGCAAAGCGGAGGTGCTGAATTGTCCATGCGGCGGGGTAGCTAAACCAGTTCCTCCCTGGTGCATTTAAGGACAGAAACGAGGGAAACAGTGGCAGAGCTTAAAATAAAACAAGAGACAAATATAAAAGCAACGGGATCTCAAAGCCGAAGGGCTTTCATTAAGACTTCGAATTTTCCTGGCCTGGGAGAGAGACACAGGTTCCTCTTTGCGAAGGGGCCACCCGCACGAGCGCCAGCAGCTTGGCCAGGGCAACTGTTAATTGGGACTGGAAAAGGATTTGAATTTGGGGCAATTTTATCCCTGTGATTTTTTAGTAGCGCTGTTTCAAATGACTGCACTACCTTATTTACCAGTTGGACTTTGGAAGCAAGAACCTCATCTTGGCAAGTGGGGTATTTTGGCCGGGAGTCATCAGAGGCACTGCCTTGCTCCCTTCATTCCTAATTTCCCCTGGGGAGGAAAGAGCCTCGAGTTAATCGCTCCTCCGGAGGGGAAAAAAATAAAAGCTACGCACTGCCCCAGGATTTCCCCGAGGAGGAGGGAGATGAAAAGCAGGAGGCCACAAATTGACATGTCCAAGGGCAGGCAGAAGCATGAAACACCAATTTCTCTGGCACATAAGACGGCATCAGTCTGTTGTCTTGAGGTTACTACGATAACCCCAAATAACGAGACAGCAGCACTACGGTGCACACTGCCAACCTAAGGCTTAACCAAATCGGTGTTTGCTTCTCCTTTCCAGGCAGAGGGATAGCAGCGGAGGGGAAACGCTGCGCTATCTTTGCCAGGGGCACGGGATACCCGTTGAACAGGAGTGTCTGAAAAACATGAGGCACATTAAAGATGAAGTCTAGGCCTTCCTGCAAGGCAAGAAGATTTAGGGAGCTCATCTCCAGGTCCAGATTATGGCATGGCTGCAAGGCGCTTCCTCCCTCAGCAAGCCCAGGTCCCCAAATCCAAGGACCATCTGCTCTTCATCCTCTGACCACATCAGGGCTGGTGATGATTCGACTTCAAATCGAATTTTGAGCTGGATGGCTGGCTACGCCTTTGTGGATGAACCAGTATCTGATCGTACCTTGCTGTCACTTAATGCATTAAGCTAAACCAGCATCGGCAAACTATGAAACCCACCACTCGCCGCTATCTAGGACCTAGTTCAGACACCTTAATGGATGCAGTGCGCCCCTGCGCAAGGAACATCTCGTTAACATCTCACTGCAGTTATTCACCCCACCAGCAAAAATCAATCGTCAAACATTCAGGACCAGAGCGAAGTCACAAAGTTGACGCGCAACAAAACACGCTCCCTGCTCTCCAAAGGTGAGGCCGAGGATGACTGGCCGAGGGATAACTCCGCTGCTGGAGCGAAAGGCTTCCCCTAAACCAAGCCCCGAGCTGCGTTTCAAACCTGGGATGCCCACGGCAGGAGGAAAGAGCCACCACAGAGCCCCGAGACCGGGACGGCAGCGACTGTGCAACTGCCTTCAGTGCAGTTGTATAACATCAGTCCTCTGTTTTTATGAACTGCTCACAGCCAGACTCAAAAAGCAGCAGCCCAGAGGAAGGGTGGTGTCAACATTACCTTTCACTCACCCGAAAGAAAAGAAGAGGCGGGGGGGGATAAAAGATTTTGTGTCGTTTCGGCTGCTGCACAGCCAAGCGGAGGGGGGTCCGGTCGCTGTGCCGGCTGTACCGCAGAGCCCTGCTCGCAGCCTCTCCTCGCTGGCCAGCACTGTAAGCCCGGCAGCCAAGCCAGCCTCTGAGCAGGAAGCGAATTAACGTGAGCTTGCTCCATTACTATTCTCTCACTAGTGTGTAGCGCGTCTTTTGTGGATTATTTTAACAGCAAAAGTCGCACACGGGAACACTCGCTGGAGAGATCAGCTTCCATCTGGGTTAACCCAAGAGTTTTCTCCCCTCAAATTTCCTCCAGCGCCCACTCAACAGCTTCCCTCTCTGTAAAAATGTTTGCTCAAAACCATTTTGACATGCAGCTAAACAGCCCAATCTGAAAGCATCAAACTTCCCTGGCCAAAAAGGGCAGGAGCAGGGCAGGGCAGAGTACACCCCTCCCGTCCTGCTTCTGCAGGTTTCCCCAAGAGCTGCCCCACGGCGCGCTGCGGCATCGAAGCTGCTATCCAGAAATCCCACCCTGGTCTCCGGGATGCCTCCCGGTGTCAGGGCACGGCCGTTCCATGCGGCCAGGAGCTTCCCTGGGCAGCTCGAGTCGGCCCAGGGTAGAGAAGGTCAAGTTTTAACCATCCACAAAGCGTTGGCGTGTTTCAGCAAGAAGGGCAAATTAACTGAACTTCCTGCGTGCCAGGGGCTGCAGCGAGCCCAGCGCAGAGCAGCTTCCCCGGGCATGAAAAGCCTGGCACGGCACCGCGCCGTCCGCCTGGCCGAGGAATTCTCCGCTTCAGCCTCAAATTAACCAGTGCCGCGTTTCCCAATCAGACATCTAAAGCTACGCGCCCTTCAGAGAGTCTCCTATCACAGCCCCATCGCCAGCCCGCTCCTCCCCGCAGACGCCCTGCTCCCAAAGCCCTTTGATCTTGGCACCCCTGGCCCCTCCTTGGCAGCCGGGCCGGCAGAGATGCGGCCGCTCAGCAGTTCTGGGGAGTGGGGGCAGCTGCTGGCTTCGGAGGCACTGCAGCAAGGCGGGACAGGCAAGGCTCTGCTCCACAGCACCCCAAAACCGCAGCTCGGAGGCAGGTGAAACGGCTCCAGCCACCCTTGCTGCCTGCCTCCCCGGGGCGGCCGTGCTGCCTGGAGGGATCTGGCCAGGAGGACTTTGCAAAGGTCCCTGTAGGAATGCCAAGATCCCACCCAACAGCAGGGAGCTGCTGCAGGGGCTGAACGGAGCAGACACCCAAACTGCACCAGAGCCTCCCTTTGGGCAGCTGAGCCCCAGGAATAAACCACAACCACTGTGTCTTCTCAGTGACACACAGCAAAAGTCTTCCAGGACGTGTGTCTGCAGACACGCGTTCGCCTAAGCAGCTTAAGGGAACAGCATTGACTGTCCGCTCTTGACTGTCCGCTCTCAGGCTGCTTCAATCAGAACAGCAACACAACAGCCTTCAGCTCAGGTAGTGACTTCTTAATGGGAGACAGATCAGCAAGAGCAGCTTTGACTACCCAGGGACACACAGAGCAACAAGAAAGTCATCCAGAGAAACAGTAGCAGACCACCACCAGAAAAATACATAACACAAAACTACAGAACCCCCTCCTTTTGGGTCTCTGGAAGCAAACACAAATTTATTGCAAGAAACATTACAGCGTTAAGAAAAAAAAAAAAATTAAGATGACAGTACCTGATCCTCCAAACTGAGTGCTCGCTAGGGTCGTGGGTCTGTTTTTTCCATTAGCCACTGGCAGGGGAAACATCTAGAAAAACAAGAAGATGAGAGAGAAGGGAAGAGAAAAGAGGTTTCAGTATGTTAGTTTTACTGTGCTGCTGCAAAGGGGGTCAGATTGGGCAGGCAGGGGGGAGGAAAGGGGGAAGAGAAGCACTTTATTGATGCAAAAAACTTTCCTCTCCTTGTGTCCCTGCTACATAGATCAGCTGCAGGAGGGACAGGAGAGCAGCGCAGCTGTGCGCTAATGTACACACACATTCCTACGTGCATAAACTTCTCCTGTGTACACAGTGTGTCTGGTTCCTTAGGTGCAACTCAAAGCCATCCAAGAAGCATCATCGCTGTGGTCAAAACCAACAGTTTCTTCCCTAACTTATTCACCAAGGCCCAGACGAGAGGGTGCCCATGGGGCCATGGAGAAAGGCTGACTCCATTCATAAAAAGCTAGCAGGAAAACGACAGCACCCCACCCAGCAAAGCTCATTTTATCCCTCTGCACCCCAGCACCCACAGTGGTCTGGGTCTCATCCCGCGTCGCCTGCACTCCCATGCCCGTCTCCGGCAACGTGCGGTGCCCGGGGAGGACGCGGGCTGCCCGCGGGCTCCAGCTGGCACGGGCAGAGATGATTAAGCCACACGCCCCAGCGATGCTCGACCTCGGCGCAGGAAGCCTCCTGCCAGCTCTCGGAGGGACGAACCCTCCAGCCTCGTGGAGCAGCTCCCACCCCTGGTCCTTTGGGGGCTTCAGCAGCGCCGTGAGCTAACACAGCCCTGGGGTCTGGTGGGAGAAGCCAAGGGCAAAGGTATTTAACCCACGATCAGGAAAATTAACATATTGTACAGTATCAGTCGTTCTGGCTACTTGTTTGCTATACTGCCGCAGCTTCGGTATCACAACTAATCTTCCCCTGCCAGGGAGCTTCCTCAAAAATACTGCATACCTCATCAGCTAACCTGTATAAATATTTTTAATATAAGTTGGGAGAGTTTCAGAAGCTGTTATTTAAAAATTTATATGCACCTGCGCGCAGCAGAAAACTAATTCTTCTCCACACAAATGGAGCTCCAGCCAATAAAACAACTGGTGGGAAAACGCTTAGTGAATTAACATTTTAATATCCTTTTACTACTCAACTCAAGATACTTTCACCACCGAGTCATTTGAATTTTTATTATTTTTAGCTTTGCAATGTCTCAGTAACTCAAAAGTTTAATGCTTTGAAGATTAAACAATGTAATGGCACAAGAGCCTACAGAAATGCAGCATTTCATGCCCTGACATAGCTGATGTCTGGCTGTGGTCAGAAACATTCCTTTGTACAAAACCGTCTGCCTAGCTTTGTTTTTACAAATGCTGGGGAGGAAAAAAAAAAAACAAAAAAACACAACAGTTAAATGTGGTAGAGATGCAAAGAGAGCAGTTAAGAAACCAACTGCCATTCAAAAAAAGAACACAAAGTTGGGAGCATATAGATGTACGCACACACGCACATCATGTATATGTTATATATATGTATTTAAATAAAGGTGTAAACAGCGTTTAAGGATGCAGCCCGCGTGTGGACAACCACTCCCGCCAGCAGCCAGCCTGCAGACACCTGCCTGCCTACGGCTTCGCCCCCGGCTGTAACCCCACTCTCCCTACACCCTCCTGCGGGCAGCCTCGCAGCGAGAGCCGCTGGACGTGCACCGCTGGGGGGGCTCCCGCTGCACCCCCCCGGCGGCTGCTGCCCACCCGGGGTGGGCTCCGGAGTCACTCGGGGTGGGCCAGTGGCCCCGCCATCGAATATGCCTTGTTTCCTCAGGAAGTCGGGCTAGAAAACAAAAACAAACCCTGACGACACCAAAGACTTGCAGCCTACCTTCCTCTGCAATGCTGCAGGTTTTTCCTGCCCCCCTCCCCTTGCAGAGCAGTGCTGTTTTCTGCAAAGATCTCCAAAATTACTAAAAATGGAATTTACGTGGCTGATCCCACCCGGCCTGTGCTCTCTCCCTCCTCTTAAGGTAGGGAAGAAGATTAAGTGAAGTGGTTAGAAAGCCCCTTTCCAAGTGGCAAGAGGCAGTTCTGCATGTGTGAGCAGGGGGGGATGGGATGCACGAACATAATGGTATCGAGCAGCAAAAAGCAACAACAAAAAAAAAAAAAAAAAGCACTGCTGGCTCTTTTTCACAAGCATTTCTGCTTAATACTTGCTGATGCTGAAAAACCCAAGGTCTGAGTGGCAAACACAAGTGGAGAAAATGAACAGCCTTGTTCCATTGTGCAACGAGCGCTTTCTACTTCTGCAGAAGAGGTGGTCCCCCCCGCCGCCGCCGCCACGCTCGGCAATCCCCAGCACGCCCCCACACCCAGCCCCGCCGGGGGATGCCCTCCCCACCTCTCCCCTTCACCCGCCTCCGCCTGCTTCGAGAGAGATTTTCGAGACTGATGCAACACCTTCCTGCGCTCCCTCCCCAAGGGATTAGGGAGTCACGGACCCCTTTCCGCACCGGGGCGAGCAGGGATGGTAAAGCAGGGTGATGCCGGAGCGGGGGGAACCCCGGGTTACCCCTCACCTCAATACAGGCTCCAAATACACTTATCGCTTGCCAACACCAGGAAGCGTTTTGGATTTTTTTTGTTCTTGCTGCCAGCCTGTTTTTCCACCGCGGTGTGGGCTGAAGCCAACCGGGTAACGCTGCCTCGAGGAGCCTGGCGCAAGTCATACGTGAAGTGCCGTCTGCCTTCGCTGGCGTATGTCACTCACAGGCAAAGTTCACCCACCCACTCCGAATTTCCTTTCTGCTTTTAAATGCTGCTTTAAAAATAAACGGGGGGGAGGGAGGAGATGAACCAGAGCTGGCACGTACCGGAGGGACCTGGGCATCGAGGAGGGACCCAGGCATGAGCGTCTGAGGAACTGTAATTGGGTCATTACTTGGCCTTTGTTGGATTTGAATAATGTAGATTTAAACGGTTATGTAAAATCCCCCATCTTAAGTCGCTGTATTTGGTTTCTCAACTCCTATCTCCAGCCTCCCCGACAGCTGACAACAACTTCTGTCTACCCTCGTAGCTCAATTTCCACCCCTCCCAAAGAATTTATTCTCCCTCCATTTCTCCCAGGTTAAAAGATGCAAATCCAGCACACGGGAAGATCCAAACGCCCGCACCCACCACCGGGGAGGTTATAGCTAAGAGACCTCACACATTCAACAGCGAACTCCTAAGCAAGAAAGGGAATTTGCCAGACACAAGTAACAATATCAAGCAGCATTTCATTTATTGTGTATTCCTACCAGTGCATCAGTGTTTTCAAATTAAATAGCTGTTTTCACTTCCTCCACTCTTCCACCTTATGAACTCCAGGCTGAACCAACCTCAGGCCTGAACTCAAAACCTGAAATCTGTTTTGCAGCATGGAAAGTATCCAGCTGTTAATTCGGGGAGAAGAGGGAATTTGACTCAATAAACATTGCCAGCAGGATATTTTATACGTGTTCATTTAAGACAGGCCTTCCTGACTGCAGCCCCAAACGTCCACTGTGGCGTAAAGTCAAACTTTACGACTGCTTCACTCTAAACAAAAGCGAGAGTTTTATCATGGAAACACAGGCGCTGCGCCTTGGCCGGAGCAGGGTGCAGGGCACGGCTTCGGCATCCTCCAGCGTGTCAGAAGCAGAAGCAGCGAGGGCAGAAGGAGCTTGCTCGAGCCCTGCTTGCTGGTAATGGTTTGGCTTTCACCCCCAGTTCGACGGCTGGAGCCACGAGGGCTGGCACGCAACGAGAGAGCAATCGCTTGCAGAGAAATCAGACGGCAGGTCCTGTGTGACTGCTCAAGCCCCTGCCCACCCTGCAACGTCTCACTGAGCTAGAAACCCACCCTGACAACTAGCATCCCCGCAGCATATGGTTAATACTCTGCTAATAATCATGGCTGTTAACAGCATTTCACGTCTGCCAGAGACCTAGGCTGGCACGCAGCCGCCTGCCTCTATCTAGCTTGGCAGGCGTGCTCTGCGGCACGGACAGGCCCCCAACCCCGTTCGCGTGCCCGCCCGGGCTGCTCCATCCCAGCTCTCCCTGTGCCGTGGGGTGCTCCTGCCCTCCGAGCACCCCTGCCTGGCCGGGATACCTGCCCGCACCGTCCCACAACGCACCGACGCCGGCAGCATGGCACGACCGAGACGCCTCCCGGGATAACCACGGCAAGTCCTCGCGGCCGAGCATCTCCCGACGGCGCAGACCGAGGGCAGCTCCTGCCGTAGGCAGCCTGTGCCCATCAGGCCGAGCTGCAAAGCCTGGCAACCACGGGCCAAAGGATAACGCACCAAAACCCAAGCCTAAAATAGGTTAAGCTGGCAACTCGAATCTATAGGCAGGATGCTTTCTTGAAAGCTCTCCTCCAGATTTGCAAGCCCGTCCTGGACTACTGCCAGGGAGCGGTGGTGAAAGAAAGCTTACAAATTACCTGTACTTTGGGGCAATTATAGAAGGCAATTTGTTCAGAGGCAGAGGTGAGCACGCTGCCGCGCACACCCCAAAGCAGCGATCAGACTACAGAGCTGGGTGTTTGGCTCCAGCTCACTTAGATGCACGTTACAGATTCCCTTGATTTTCACCCTTATTGGCAAATTACATTGGCACAAAGCTTTGGGCAAGTGCTTTGCCACTCAGTAACTACCCAATGTATTTCTTTAATAAATAAGGCACCAGTCTTTCTTTTCAGGACCATAAGCCCAATTTATAGCATCTCACACAACCCTGCCATTTACCGACACCACGAACTCACGTCTGACTGTGCAACCCCGTTAGGGACGGACCTTAACATTCACTCACTGCACAGCAAAACACAGCGCAGAGCGGGACCACAGGCTGCTGGGGTTGAACGTATTTTCCCTAGAAAAAAGGAATCGGAATAGCTATCTGAAGCAAACGCTTCCAGCTGCTCTGAATCCCTCTCCCTAGTCTTCCCTCCCATCTACTCTCCTGGAGAAGATTAGCGGACCAATGCTCCACTCCTGCTTCTTCAAAGAAAAATATAAATACACTTGAAAGAGCGAGCTTTGTGGTCAAAAAGCCTGCATCCCAAGGACACAGGGAGAGCAAGCCACGGAGCAGCCTCTTCGACAGACCCACACCGCGCACCACAAGCTCACGATGCCAGGGTGAAGACCGTCTACTAGCCAGGAAGCTTTCCATTTTAGCTACTCGTCCTTCAGGAGAGATGTTAATACTCCCTTTATGCAAACTCAGGAGAAGGGCGTGCGTGTGCGGAGATGAGGGTTTGTGAAACAGATCTGGCTCAAATCCAGACTGCGTCGGAGCCCATCGGCCAACTTATCCTGGAGGGAACGTCTTCGAATCATTTGCTGGCAAATGACATTTGCAGGCCCTGATCCTGCAAGCAGCCGCCCCCGCCGCCGCACGCATGAGGCTTACACGAACACAGAACAAGTTCTGGTCGTTCCCAGGTTTACACCAGCGTAAGAGCGTTGGAATTGAACCCAAATCCAACCGTTAGGTGTAGATTAATCTCCAAGGACAGAAGCAATCGTGTACAAAGGGAACAGGTCAGGACCCCTCCAGGGAATACAGCTCTGAGCATGCAAATGAGGATGGTTCGTTAAATTTGAAAATAAGGTCTTGGGGTTTTTTTTTAAAGCTGTAAACGGTGAGTGGGATTTGATTTTTTTTCTAAAGGGGAGAAAAAGCAAAGTGGGAGCCACTGCAGCCCCGGCCAGGGAGCAGATTATGGGTTACCGACCCAAAGTGCGGTTCAAAACCTGGCACTCTCCAGTGCAGGAGATGGAAAGCGCCAGGGCTCCTGCCAACCCGCAGGACCTCTGAGATGAGAGAGGCACAAATAACCACGCACCGCTCCCCAGCGAGCCCTGAACATATTCCTGTTTTTAAACGCGTACCGTCACTGCAGTCCCCCTCACAACTGTAAAGCATACTACTGTAAAAATACATCGCTGGTAATTTAACGGAACCAGCCTCCCAACAGAAGCATGAAACTGGGAGAACTGGGCCTCTCCTCTTGCAGAATTGCTCTTTGGGGGACTGAGAGACCCCACCACCGACTCCCCGTCCAGCGCGGAGCCCTGCCGGGACAGGTACAAGCCCCAGCTGTATAAAAAGCTTTATTTCCCATTGCTAAACCTCAGCGCTCGGGTGCAGAAAAGTGGCCGAGCCTCAGCGCTTCCCACAGGCCTAACAGGTACCAGGACAGCGGGTGCCCCGAGTTCTGCCACCGTTTTTCCCCCCTCTACTCCCTTCTTCTCCAAGAGGCAAGAAAATCAGCCCAGCGGGGCCATGGGCTGGGTGACCCAGGACAGCCCAGAGCCACAGCGGCGACACTCATGGTTATTCCTCCTCGTGGAGCTGTTTTTTCTATCTTCACAGCATGTTTGCTTATCTAAAAAGCAAGGTGCAGGCTCCAAGTGCCGTGAGGGTGCAGCACACAACAGAGGAACCCAACAGAAAGTTATTTTCTTTTGAACACAAGCTCTCCCCTTCGCAAGTCACCTGCCAACGACAGCCAGCACCGGCGCGGCAAGCACACAGCGTACACTGCCTGGCGCATCGCTGACCCCGGACGGCGGCACAGACGGACGTGCCGCGGACCAACCCTCGTTCTGCTACGACTAGAAGGGACTTCTCCTCCCTCCGAGCTGTGCACACCCTTCTGGGGGAACTCTTAGGTCCTGTTTCTTTGAAAATAAACAGCTCCTAAATGCAGCTAAAAGTTTCCAGGGTACAGAAGAGCAGAGCGTGGGGAACTTAAGTGTCCAACTCCTGCAAAAATAATGCGCTGGAGAGCTTGGACACATTTCAAACTGTGACAAAATAACCTGTGGGAGCAAAAGTTTAATAGTCTGGATCTGGGGAGAGGAAAAAAGCCTGATTAATCAGCTACTGAAGTTACATCTTTGCGTGGCTTCAGAAACAGTCACCCAGCCCATTTCACAGTGAGCATTTAAACAGAGAACACACAACTCCGTTACATTTCCCATCCAAAAAAAACTCAACCCACCTCTCTCTGCTCCCTGCAAGGAAACAATATACGTTTGAGGGGAAGGGGGGGAGAGGAGGGGCAGAGGCTTTGCTCTAACTTGAAAATAAACAAGTTGCAGCACATGTGCATGCACACAAACACGGCACATCTGAAACCCATCATGTCCAATTTACAGGCTCACATTTCCTCCCTTCTGCAGCTCCAAAACACTGCACACAAGCAAAGCCCCGGGGCCTTTAAAGCCCCCCGGCCGCGCTCGCTTACCATACTGAAGTCCAGCAGGTCACTGAGCTCTTTGTCTGTCCCAACTGCAGCCATTCTCTGCTGCTGCTGATTCATACTCCCACAGACTCAACAGTGGCAGTCCTAGAGAAAGCGAGGGGGAGGGGAAAGAGATATTTTAATGACTAGAGCAAACTACCCACCCCATTGATGAATATTTTAAAAAGACAGAGCGAGAGAGAGAGAGAGAGAAAGGGGCAAGAAAAGAAAAATCCTTTGCGAGTCTCCAGCATCCAACTCCTCCGCTGAGAGCACAGTCGGAGTCCTCACATAGCACCCAGAGGCAGGAACAAGCGCTCTATTGACCAGACACACTTGTATGTTAGTTTTTTGCTGCCAATTCCACTAGTTCAGGCCAATTCTGTTCCTGGCGTGTGGCGAATGAAGAAAGAAGGGGAAAAAAAAAAAAGAGTCAACTCATTTATCAAAGGGTTCAGGCAAGTTATCACTCAGGCGCTTGTCTGGCTCGGCTCGGCTCACCCCCTCTCCTTCCCCCACACTCGCTCCCTGCAGGAGGCTCTCTTGTCCTTGCCTAGTTTTGTTTAAAAAAAGGAAAAAAAAAAAAAAAAAAAAAAAAGGTCTGATCTTACGCCTCTTTCCTTGGGGTTGCCGAGCACCTGCAGCTGCTTTTTCAGGGGCTGAATTTGGGGATGCCCAGCCAGGCCATACCCGGTGAGAACTGAACCTCTCTGCTCCCAAAAGAGACTGGAAAAAAAAAAAAAATTGTTTTCGGAGGGTTTTGCAAAAATAAAGCCCTCCAGGCAACCTTGCAAGATAGGTAAATATTATTCTTCCTAATTTTACAGATTATTTTTTTTAAAGGGAGATTGATCTTTTTGGCCAGCTCACTATGATAGAAAAATATTTCTTTGGGAGGGAGGAAGAGAGGCCTGGGATGAGATAAAAGATTCCTTTTTTTTTTTTTTTGGCCTTTTTTTTTTTTTTAGGAACTCATTCATGGTTAAAAAGGGCAGCTGGCCAATAAATTTAAACCATTAATCATAAGGTTTAAAAAAAAAAAAAAGAAAGAAAGAAAAAAAAGAAGAAAACTCCATGCGATCCAAAGCATTTGTAGGCTGTGCCGGCTCAGCCACCACATTTCAATGAAGTTTTAAAAAAAAACACACTGAAATCAGCCCAGCATGTAAAAACCCTTTGCCACTATAAAAAACAGCCAGGGGATTTTATTTTTTTTTTTTCTTTTCTTTAAAAAGCCTTTTCTTTAAGTGTCATCAATGCATCTGGTCAGTATTTTTAAAGCAACTTTACCAACCTGCTGCCCCGGTGCTGTCGGGGGAGGCGAGCTCGTCCCCGGAGAAACCCCCCCGCACCCCGGTCGCTGCCGGGGAAGGGGCGAGCAGATTCATCCCTTCAGCAGCCCCCCAAACCCCGCATCCCCCACCAAAACCGCTGACAACTTGAACAATACGCGCTCGCCACCCCGAATTCAGCCCGGGCTTTTATTTTTATTCTCCCAACGCCTCCTATTTTTAACTCCAAACCAGCCCCCGGGAAGCCAAGCGCCCTGCCCCGGCCCGGGAACGGCTTTATCCGCCCCGGCAGCACAAAGGCCGAGCAAAACTTGACCCGGGAGGAGCGAGGGGCGGCCGGGGGCCCCGCCGATGCCGGGCTAACGCGCAGCAGATGTCCGCCTCTCCCCCCGGCCCGCTCGGGTTTCCTCCAGCGGGGCCCGGCGGCACCTCCTCGCCTCGGACAAAGGCTCGGGGGACCCCGAACTGCTCCGGCTCCCTCTCCCTCAACTCCTGGAGCGGCCTGGGGACAGCCCCGCTGCTCCGGGGACAGGCGTGGGCCCAGCCAGGCCGGACCGGGCCCAGCTAGGCCGGACCCGGCCGGCGC